ATGCTCCTTGATATTTACCCAGAAGAATAAAAAATTTATGTCCACATAAAAGCTTGCACATGGAGGTTTATTCATAATTGCCAGAACATTCAAGAAACCAAAATGTCCTTCAGTTGATGAATGGATAAAATAAGGAGCATACAATGGAATTATTCAGGAATAAAAAGAGCTACAGGTGAAAAGACATGGAGAAATCTTAAATAATGTTAATAAGTGAAAGCAGTCCACATACTGTGTGGTCACAACCATTGACATTCTGGGAAAGGCAAAACTATAGAGACAATAAAAAGATCAGTGGTTGTCAGGGTTAGGAGGGAGAGATGAATAAACAAAGCACAGAGAATGTTTAAGGTATTGAGACAGTATTTTGTAGGATAATATAATGGTGAATATATGTCATAACATTATAAAAACCCATAGACCTCCCAACAACAAGAATGAACCCTAAGGGTTCACTTACTTGATTGCATCTATCTCTATCTTTTCCTTTAGAGGTAGCCACTATTTTTATTTTAATGTTACTGCTTTATGTTTTTATAGTTAAATTCACATTAATTTTTATCAACACGATGTTTAGTATTGACTGTTTTCTCAATTTTGTGAAAACGAAATTCTCTATGTATTTTTCAGAAAATGCTTTCTTGCTTAATCCTCACAGATGCATGTTGTTATAGTTCATCTGTTTTCACACTATGTCTTACCCCATTGTATTCTTATAACTCAAATTATCCCTTGTAACTATATATATGCCTTTAGCTTGTTCCACTTTTGTTTTAAAGATAATGTCACTTGAACATAATGCAATGTTTCCTGATACCTGTGTTGAGTTTCACCAAGCTGTAAGAGCTTCTTAGAGTGATTACTTAATATTTTTAGGAAATATAAAGCTGCTCTCTAAAAAGATTTTATCAATTGACACATCAAGCAATAGTACATAGGTTCTTATTTTTTTTAATTAACATTTCTGTTAAAAAAAATGAACACTAAGGTACATGCTCTGTGGATGACACTGATGTATCAGTGTGGGTTCACCAAGTGTAATAAATGTATCTCTCTTGGGGGGGAGGGTAAAGGGGAGGCTTTATATGTGCTGTGAATCTAAAAGTGCTCTGGAAATGCAGTATTTTATAAAACAAAACCTTTACTAGTCAATGAGACTGTGAAAGCCATTGGAGCTGTTTTTGTTTGTTTGATTGGAGGAGGGGGGCTTGCTTTATTTATTTACTATCATTGTTCATTTTTGTACAATATTTGATTTCTACCCTCAGATATAGTCCCCATAAAATTCCCACCACCACATCACCCGTGAACCATCTTCAGCAATCAAAAAAGAAAAACTCATGCCATTTGCAGCAACATGGATGGAGCCAGAAGGGATTATGCTCAGTGAAATAGGAGGAAAAAGAAAAATATTGGATGGTTTCACTTATAGGCAAAATATAGGGAAACCATACCAGGGATCGGGCGGTGTGTGGTGGGGGAGATGTGAGACAAAACCAACAAATCATAAATCCATTGGAGCTGGATGATAGCTATTTCCAGTTTGCACCCTTTCCTGGACACCTCACAGAACTGCACTTTCTTGCTCTTTGGTGGGGCCATATAACCAGGTCTGAACACGGTGGTTAAGCTGGAGGCAAGACTTTACAGAACTCTCTTTTCCTGTTGGCTCAACTGTCAAATTCAAACTTGTAACTGCCATGAAGGACTATGATGAGCAGAGCTGACCTCCCCAGCTGACCTCTAGTGAACACATAGCAAAGCAAGAAATAGGTCTTTTTTATCTTACACTACTGAGTCTTGGGGTTGTTTCCACAGCAAAATCTAGTGTAATTATGACTCATAGAGAGATGATCAATAACTCTGTTATTTATAAACTGTGACTTCCTCCAACCACCCTCCTGTTCAAAGATGTGGTACATTTGAGGACACAGAGTTGACCCAGGCATGAATTTCAGTCTTTACTCAGAGATATCTTAAGCATTCTAAAGGAATCTAAGTGCTTGTCCATGGGAACTCTGACTAAAATCTTAATCTTCTATTTGCAGCACCTCAATATTCCAAGGAATTCCTCTCTGTTTCTTTCCCCTAGTCACGCCTGTCTATCAAGCTATGTGTAGTCTCCTGGGGAGGGAGGATTTTCTTCCTCCCTGATTAATCTTCTCCCAATAATCACAGCTTTTGTCCTTTCCTTGGGAACATAGAAGGAGAGTGATTATTATAATCAAGTGAAAAAGCTGGAGAAGGCTGTGAGCCCCATAGGTAAAAATGTTTATTTCACTGTAAATCACTGTCATCATTTCTACTAATGTTTGAGTGTCTCTACAGCTGTCTATTTTATTTTCTTTCTCAACTAGTTCAGAAAGCAGGTGGGAAGTAGGGTATGGGAGAGGGCCATTCAGACCCCAACAAAGGCCAACTGGAATCCTCTCAGGAAGTTTCTGTGACAATGGTTCAATGATTGCACATTACTCCCTTTGCTATGTGGTGATGAGTGATGGATGGTGGACGGTGATGAGTGATGTGACAACCTGGGAGGGTAAGATGGTCGCATGTTGGTGCAGCCTCTTGTAAGTCTCTTCCATCAACAAACTCCTCTCTGACATCATCAGGTGGACAGAGCAAAGGTCCAGCTCCCGCACAGAAGATCACCCCTGTCATGACTTGTTTACCAAGGCTCACTGAGCTGCCAGAGCAACCTCAGTCTCCACAACAGATTCCCGACTATTCCAGGAAGCCCCGCCCCCCTTGCATTGTCAGCTTCTTTTCTTAACATCCTCATCCAAATCTAAAATCTCTCTGCTGCTCTGATGCTGAAGGAAACATATGGTGACTTAAGTTTGAGCAAAAACACACAAGAAACACCCCCAAAATTCTCCTTGCAATGTGACATAATTTCTCGCTGTTTCACCTTTCAGACATACAGACTTGACTTCTTCATAAAACTTTCTGGATGTTACATATATGTAGTACCACAGAACAGCAGCTTTGGGCAAGCTATGAAGTTTACTTCTGAGAAATGAACCATAGCTGATGGATAAGCCCCTATATTCGCTGAGTACAAATGACAACTTTTGAGGTTACCAACAAATTCAGGTTCAAGCACAAGGTCCATTCTATAGCTTTCTGATTATAAATAACAATCTGGAATATTCTTTGATTCACTCACTCAAGAAATCCAGTGGGTCACCAAGTCTTGCTGCAATGCCTCTCTCCTTTAAGTTGCTTTATTCCTATTCTTTCTATCTTTTGCCTGGGCAGTAGAAATAACTAGCTGGTCCTCATGCCCACTGTCTCCATCCTTTAGTGCCACTGTCAGGGCAATTACTGTGGAATATCAACATGACTCTGTGGAATATCAACATGACTCTGGATGCCTCGTGACTGCTCAACATAGTAGATGAGAACATGGGCTTCTGTGTCTGATAAGAACCAAGTTCAAGTCCTGATTCTGCCACTAACCAGACACATCCCTTAGCTACGCCAGGCTGTGCTCTTTTCACCTGGAACTCAGAACAATACCACTTACCTTGCATAGTTTGGAAGGACTGAATGGGGTAAGACAGTGTTTTGGCACCCAGTAAGTACTTAATAAGTGTGTACCAAATATTCCAAGCATCTGAGGCCCTGCAAATTCTCACCACAGCAGACCCTCAATCCCTGTCTCCTACCAATCCATGCAGTGTATGTGTCCTCCATCTGAAAGATCTCACCCTGTGCTCCCCAGACATTTCAGGTCCACAAACCCCTCAACTGAAATATTGGAACTTTAGTGTTGTTTTTTTTTTTTTTTTATCTCTAGCATGCCCAAATATAAAAACAGTAGTCAGTGTCATATAATTTCAACAAAGCTTTACATTAGGAGACAATACTGTAAAATTACTCAAATCAATGGTAATTCAAAATCGGTACAATTTTTTGATGTCTAATCTTGATCATTAAGAACAAAGGACACCATCCTTTCTAAGCTGAAATATGCTGTAAGTTTTAATGCCCACATGTACACACTTCTCAGTCTCACCAGAAGGGGGTGTGCCTGCATAAAAGAGGGAGCAGGATCACTGCCTTACAGGGGACAATTATTTATTGTACCAGAATTCATAATCCAGTGACAATAGTTTTTAAAAATAATTCCCAGAGGCTCAGAAGTATCTCCGCTCTTGCTGTTCTTCAGTGTGTGCCCATGCTTGCTATTATTACCAAAATCAATTTTTCTGTTATAGACTAGATGAGTATTGCTTGATTTTCAAATTTGGATGATTTACTAAGTGTGCACACTTCATTCCTTTTACCTGATACAGCATGGAAGTGTCCCAATGCTCAAGTCTGGCATCAGACTGCCTGGATTCAAATCCTGGTTCTGCCACCTGTTAGCTATGTTATCTTGGGTAAAATGTTTAATCTCTTTGTGCCTCAGTTTTCTCAATGCAAAACAGAAATAAGCATGGCACCAGTCTTCTAGGTAGTTAAAGGTTAAATGAGTCAATATGTGCAAGTAATTGGAACAGTGTCTACTACACAGCAAATACTGTATGCAGTTTTGCTGCATGTACCTACCACTACAACTTTGCAGCTAACAACTTCCTGGAGCAGCACGGGTGCTCAATCTGTCATCTTGAAAGCAGGTCCACAAAGGAAACCTTGCCAGTAAGCTCCACTTGGATTTAAAGTTTCTAGCAATGGTTTGAGGGGGAGAAGTCATGAAAATTCAAACTAGAAAGATTTACACGTTTACTCTAGATTTCACATTCAGCATCTCAGGGTGGTTAAAACCCATGAGAAAATATATGATTCTGATAACTTCTGATGGTTCATAAACAGCAGCCCTATTGAGACTGATACAGGGGGAGGACTTTAACAGTACCTAGAAATATTGCTCTGCCATCTGAAACAGTCTCCCCATACATTACAAACATTCTCACTTTACAATATGATTTCCACATTCCTTGCAATAAGAATACATCACCTTTTTCATTCTTACAAATGTCTATTCCTATTACCTGAGTTCATTTTTATGGATTTCCACTATTTTTCTTTCCAACTTCTGTGACTGCTTTGGAAAAATTTCAAACTCACTGATGTAATTCTCAGCTTGCTCATCAGGATCATAATCACCGAGTTCAGCTATATCCAGTAAAAAATAAAAAGAGAGAGAAAGATTAAAAGAGCAGGAGGCACGTGAACTGGCTTCTACCTCCCCCACCCCTTGACAAAACCAGAGCTTGGAATAAGCTCACCCAACAAAATAAGCTCAGATTCTAGTTCAGATCTAGTTATATGAACTTGGGCACTAGCCCAAGAGAACTAAGTCTCATTTTCTTCATCTATACAATAAAGGAATTTAAATCATTATTTCTCAATTGGGCACTACTGGCAGATAGCCCTGAAAGGGCTAAACAATTCTTAACTGTTTTTTAGACCCTCCAAGGCAAGGTAGGACACTTAAACCCTTACTCTTCAGGTACTAAGTATTAGTGGCATACCCAGTCAAAAAATCCCCCTAATTATTCTGAATGTTCCCCAGGATAGGAGGTGGTACCACCTCTAGTTGGAAACTACTGGATGTTCCTAAGTTTCTTTTCACAGTTAATTTTCACTGAGTGTAGGAACTCCCTGGCTGGAGCTGCACGCTCTGAGATTTATATAAGTGTGGCTCATTCATTGAAAATCACAACATGAAGGCACCCAAGAAGATAGCATTTAAAAATAAATGGATTGCTCTTTAAATTAGAGTGTGTATCTAAATATGGCCAAGAATACCAGATTAAGATGGTTGCTGAATTCTAACAGAGGGCAGCCACCTTCAGAGGGTGTTTCAGAGTATCAAGAAATATCTGCACATCTAAGCATCTGGAGGGTTCAGGAGACAATGGGCCTAGGATGTGCTTGGACCACAGCCTGGAGCAACAAAAGTGATAGTCTGGCAGTGGAATTACATTCTAAGGATTTCACAAGCTTGCCAAGGGAAATGAGCCAGAAGGGGCAAGTGTCTCAGGCAGAAAGAGGGGATACAGTCCAGGAGAGTAGATTATCAATGGTGGGGAAACTATATGAGAAGAACCCGATTCACCAAAATGATTTTAAGGTAAATAGAAGTCAGTATACCTTGAACACATCTGCACAATTACATACAACACAGTAATTTGTATCTACTGTCCCTTCATTGTTGAATCATCTAATGACTGTGAAAGGACAAAGCTGGGAGGGAAAGCAAAGCTCTATAAAGCTTCCTAATAGGATTCAAATTATAGAGTTCTTAAAGTGACCTAAAATGTACACCACATGAGGAAGAACTTTTGAAGAGAAACAAAATAATACTATCAACCATAGGGGAAGATACTGAGGAATTTAAACTATGAAAATTAAAACATTTCTTTTCATTAAAGGACAACATCGTCAAGGCAATAGATAACAAGTTGAAAAAATATCCTTGCAAAATCTAAAGTGGCACGGGCTAGTATCTAGAGTAAGTGAGACATCCCTATAAATCGATGAAAAAATATCAAAGGATATGAACAGGCAATCCAGAGAGGCAAACCCACGGTCTGGTGTATGGAGAGATGCTCAAACTCATCAGTAATCAAGGTGATGCCAACCAAAATGACAAAATATCTCTGTCATCCATAAGACTGGACCTATAACTAGGAAGGTAGATGAGTGTGTTTGTTGCAAGAGACATGAGGATATGGAGGATTCTAGATGCACGTGGTTCTTCTAGAGAGCACTGGGGGTATTTAGTCAACTATGATGACCCCACAATCACACTTCAGGGCATATATTCTAGAAAAACTCTGAGTGCATAAAAGGATCTGGAGACAACATGGGCAATCTTTGTTTGTAAAGGTAAACCATGGGGGCTTCCCTGGTGGCGCAAGGGGTTAAGACACAGCATTATGAAGCAATCCGCGGCCACTACAGCAAGAGTTTGATCCCGGCCAGGGAGCTGTCCCACATGGCACGGCAGACCTCTCCTGACTGGCCCACTGCTCCCCTCAGCAGTGTCTTTCAGTACATCTGCCTGTTCTGCTCCCCACTCTGTCTCTGGTGAATCCTCTCACCCCCCCTCCCACCATGCCTCTGGCTTGTACCCCAGCTCTTGTATGCATAAATAAATAAATCTTTAAAATAAATCCTTTAAAAAAAAAAGGTAAACCATGGACATGCACCCTACTGGTCCACAGGGAAGATGACAGACACCAGACATCTTCAATGCAAATGTCAGCGTGTACAGTGGTTGGTAAGGGAGAGATGTTCTTCTCTTCCCGGGAAAACTTATGAGGTATAGAGGACTTGTGCTGCTGAACACTGCAAACAAGGAGCCTGGAAAAGGCCAGAAAACTAAGAAGAAATGTCATGGGAACTGCACAGGGTTGCTGAGAAAGTAAATAACAATCCTCCCCATCCCATGCTCTCTGTCCTTTGTCCCTTAAAGTTTGTCTTTAATTCTGACTTCACCTTAAACAAAAGTTGGTTGATAGAGAATTAAGGACTTCTACCTGCACAAACGTCATTTTTCGTAAGGAGAACAGTTGGATACAGTTGGATCGTGTCTTTCTGACACGATTTCAAGAGTAAAGTTGTGACAAATGACAACCAACATACTGGGAAGTTGTACAGTGAATAAGGCACCCATGGAACTTAGATTCTACACAGCAGGGAATGCACACAGTAAGGCCAAAATAACTCAGATTTAAGTGCTTAAAAGACCATGGGCATGTGGGCCTCCCTGGTGGCACATGGGGTTAAGCACCACACTATGAAGCAACCTGCAACCTCTGCAGCATGAGTTCAATCCCCAGCCGGCCAGAGAGAAACCCACATGGCGAAGCAGACCTCTCCTGTCTCGCCCGCTGCTCCCCTCAGCAGTGTATCTCGTCCGTCTGCCTGTTCTGCTCCCTGCTTTGTCTCTGGTGAATCCTCTCACCCCACCCCCCTGCGTCTCTGGCCTGTACCCCAGGTCTTGTATGCATAAATAAATAAATCTTAAAAAAAAAAAGACCATGGGCATGAGAAAGAATAATGTGCAGGGAAAGTTTACTTTAGTGGTTTAGAAAAACTTCTTGGAGGAAGTGAAATCTGAACTGAGTTTTGAATATCCAGGAGTCACAGATCCACAAGGGTTGAACACACTAAGAAGAGGAGATGATTACAGAATTCCTGTAATGTTGCTGTTTTGCAGAAGGAACAAGGATATTTTTACCCACAAAGGATTTAAATAGATCCTAGTATTCTGTGTGTTTGTCCTGCAAGCTGTATCATGAAAAAAAAAAAAAATGCGCTGCATGCATTGAATATGTCCATTGTATTCCAGATGTTTTCTGTATTCCAGGTGATTGCCTGTTTTTTATATAGTCTGAATATACTGACGCTTAATACAGACTCCTTCAAAGAACATTAGCAAACAAGAAGTTAATGAAAAGTCAGGTGCCCCCTCCACTTTCTAATCATTTTCTGCACGTTTCCTGTTACTCTCTGTAAGATTAAGCAGTTCTGACAAAGCAGATTTTATGGGCATTTGTAAACGATCTCTAGAGCCTCTGAATTATCACTGGAGCATCAAAAACTTTGTGAATCCAGTTTTTACTGTGTTTTAGAGCCAAAAGGTCCTCGCAAATCCTGCCAGTCCATTTCTAAGTCTACTTTCTCCATAGGCTCTGTGTGAGTGGCCAGCAATAATAGCAACAATGGATAAATGAGGGCCCTGATCATCTGGATGGGGCCTTTGGGGCTTTATTATGAACATAAACAGAGGATGAGTTTTCCATTACTATCCTTGGAGGATTCCCATGATTCACTAATGCCTAAATGCATTCTGAAATCTTCATATGACAGCCTGTTGCTTAGATTCATATCAATTCACTTTTTCCTCACAGAGACAGTACACCCCAACTAGGAATCTGCAGTGTTCACAGGGAAACTAGAGAACTGTGGGGCTCAAATGAAAGAGGGGGTGACTTAGCTCTGATGAAAGAGGGGGTGACTTCTGGGGGCAATAATTGACCCAGAAGCAGATGTAGGACTATTTGTCATTACAGCATCCCTGAGTTCTGACCACTTTAACCCTGACTTTATCCAAGGGTTTTAATGTCTCTGCCAAACCCACCACCTGGCACTAGGGAGCTCCCAGGGGCAGGGGAAAGCTTCCCACAGAAACAGTGGTGGATGATGGCAAAACCCCCAGGAGAATGAGGGGCTCCTAGACTGTAATAAAGCTTAGAATTGTGAAAGGCAGGTGGCTGTAACCTATGACCACTTATATCCATCATGAGCCCCTTCATCGTCCATTATTCCAAGACTCTTTATAAACTTGGCAAGTTCACTTTGTAATCTCACTCTCCCAGGCCCACCCCCTCAACACACCTCCTCCCTCACCTCCCTGTCCTTTCTTCTCTCATAAACATGTCATTAGCATTCATGCTACAAACGGCTGCACCATCTGGGTCTCTCCAAATAGGCCCTGCTGCCAGCTGCCTCCCAGCGGGCCCAGGGGAACAGAACACCTGTGTCGTCTTCACCCAGCAATGGGCCATCCCCAGGGCAATGTGCTGCCTCAGGCCCTGGAGCCACTTTCCCTCAAGTTCCACAAAGTGAAACATCCAGAAGCCAAGCGTGGGTCATCATGCCTGCTTCTTTCCACTACCCCACCCCCCTGGGACTTGTTTGACCCTACAAATAAATCTCATGAACTCTTCACACAGCTGTGAAGGATGTGACCACTCCATTTAAAATGTGAGGAAACTAAAGCTTAAAGAGCTTAAATAATTTGCCTGTCGTGAAATGATCAAGAAATGGGAAGGAAGGTTCAGAATGAGATAAGAGACCCTGAACCCACCCACCATGGCGAGAAAAGCTGAAGAATCAGCCGCAGCGCACACGTGCATGTATACACACAGGTAAGCGCATGTGAGCACATGTGTGTACATATTCTGTGACAATGCTTTGATGCTTCATAGCAAATGGACACCTGGATGTTGTTCCCCTCCCCCTCAACATACCCATTAGGCCCACACCTGGCAGCTCAGACCAGAGAACAAGGCACACCCTTAGAGCGTCTTGTAACCACAAGTTCCAGGACTTTGAGAGATCCTGAGCTCCACCACAGGGAGAGCTTTGAAGACAAAGCTCTTCAGACCATCATAGATGCACCTGCCACCAGGAACCCGCTGGCTTGGGATGGAAGGCGAGTGGGGACTCTGGGGCCAAGTACCCAGTCTTATCTAGTTTCAAACCATGATCTTGGGCAGGATGGGAGCAGGGACGATGGAGGGGGCTCTGAACAGTGCAAGCTACACACTCCAGTGCAACGGGGCAGGAGCCATGGCCACACTTACCTTGCACAATACAGGCACCCAGGTAGGCAGCATCTGAAAAGGAGCAGAGCAGTCGACCGTGGAAAATATCTCTTTTAATTTGCAGGTACAAAAGGTACCTGCAGTACAAAAAGAGAAAGTGTCTCCATGAGTTTTGACTGTAGCCTTGAAGTAGGGGGGGGACTGTTCATGCTTCATCCACTGGGGTCACCACAGCCTGCCCCCTCCCCGGGTCTGAGGGATGGCTGAGACATGCCAAGCCCCTTGAGACAAGCTGAGGACACTAAGAGGCACCCTCTGGACTCGGAAATTTGAAGGGGCTGGTGCTGCACATATCCTGTCTGCTTCCAAAAGTGGGTGACTAGGTCTTTTCAAAATGACATGAGGAGGACCAAGGAAAGGGCAGGGCCCACACAGTAACAATCACAACCACCATCACTACCACCACACCACGGCACATGCTATCCACACCGTGTGAACTGGAGAGCCAGGAAATGGATTAACCAGTATAGTGAGGCCAGCCTGGGGACAGACAGACACAGTAATTCATCTCAAAGAGCATAGGAACGAGGCCAGAAAGCCAATGCATTCACAACCAGAACTGTCATCTGCTTAGTGCCCGCCTTCCTCCAGGGAGGGCAAACTAGATGCTACAGGGCCAGGCATACCTGCTAATGGATACAGAGGGCTGGCAGAAGGGGGTTGGGAGCTGAATGGAGAGCAAATCAGTCAAGTGTTGCTAAGAAGAGGAGCAGACCAAACAACCCAAATCTTTCAGAAATTCAAGGGGACTCATTTTAGAAGTAAAATCCTTTGAATTTAAAATGCTGCAACAAAATGTCTTTAAAAACACTAGCTCTGAACAAAAAATGCTTATGCACCCAATTTAGCTTGGGGCAGGAATGGGGACTGGGAGACATGCAGCAATTTGCAACCCCTGTCTCAGTTCATCTTGTCATTGTCCTTTCATCCTCCACACTGACCAAGTCCTCCTCAGATTTCCTCCTCAGCCAAGGGGATTCTTTGCATCAAGGGTCAGGCCTGAGGTGTCTTGTTTTTGATCAAAATAACCTGGCAGATGTGTGCAAATTCATTCTGGCTCCTTCGACTGTTTAAGTCTCTGAGACCAATCTTTGTTTTCCTTTCCACGTTCTTGGGGTGAGTGAGGCCACCCTTTAATCCACCCCAGTTACCACCTGTAGTGCTCAAATAATCTGACTTCTACTCAGCCTATGAGGATCCAGGAGCACAGCCCCATTTTACCAGTTAAGAAATGGAGGGTTGGAAATGGTATTAACGTGCTAAGGTACTGCCACCCTCAGAATATTGGGGTTCCCCAAGTTAATGTGAATCATATCACACCTGCTTGATGCTGCGCATTGTGCTAGGCAAATACCTGAAATGATCAACTTTTTCCTTTTTTAAAGATTGTTAACTACCAGACCAAATGCCATAAAGCTTCTTTTCTGTGTGCTGCATGTATTCACTGAGCAATGAGCATTCCTTTACACTTTTTTGATGAGTTTTGCAGTGATAAGTAGCTTCAAATAACTGTGTACTAATAACTGAGAGGTTTGGGTTCCAATCTCATAACTCAGAAATCGAGTTTGATGAACATTTCCTGAGAAAAGAAAGTCAGTTTTCACAACATCTGAGTTCAGGTCCTTGAGCAATATATCATCATCTCTACAGAAAGTCAGAGATTACTATGAATTCAACATAATCCACTGAGCCTTACAAATGACTTCAAGTCTATTTAGTCATTTTTAATACATTAACCCTCCAAAATAATAATGTTTCTTCTTTTAGTTTCACTCCTGCATGAAAGGATTAAGCAACAAAAACACATGATCTTCAGCATACATACAGTGACCATTAATGATATTCCTTCCAAAGGTAATTTCTTACTAAGAAGATTAAAAACATACTGTGATTACATCCAATTTACAAATACCCCAGAAATATAAAGGATTATAAGATGACTGCTGAAATGGAGAGATATAATGTAAGAAGGATAAAAAATTATTGCAAATACCTTCTTGTAAGTATCATTAGTTGTTTTGCTCTTTTAAGCCTGCCTTTTACTGAATGCTTCTTTACGTCTAAGAATGATAATGAATGTTGCCTAAATTTCTCATTTATTGAAACCACTTAGGGCCTCCCTAGTGGCACAGGGGTTAAAGACACAGCACTATTAAGCTATCACCAGCCACTGTGGCATGAGTTCGATACCTGGCCAGGGAGCAACCCACATGGCGCAGCAGACCTACCCTGTCTCGCCCACTACTCCCCTCACAGTGTATTTCAGTAGATCTGCCTGTTCTGCTCCCCACTCTCTCTGGTGAATCCTCTCGCACCCCTGCACCTCTGGCCTATACCCCAGTTTTTGTATGCATAAATAAATATTTTTTTTAAAAAAAGCTTAAATTTTATGGTAAGGGGATCTTACAATAAAATAATAACTTATCAAACAAGAAAAGCTAACTACTTTTGAGATAGGTTTCAAACCATAAGCACCTGCGGCATTTTAAAATTTCCAGATTTGTTTTGAATTCCAAGAACTCTGTTGACTAAGAAAAGTTCATTTCTCCCTGGGCAAGGACAGGGCATTGTTTTAATTTCCTTAGCTGACACAAAAGTGTTCACAGATTTCTACTATTCACACCTTACTATTCAGTCAAATTCAAGGAAATGCAAGCAAACTTAATTTAGAGGTGAGGGGTTTAACTAGTTATTAACTAAAACTTTGTACTCTTTTACTTTCAAATGGAACTTTTCTTAAGAACAAAAGATACGGCCTCCCCTGGTGGCGCAGTGGTTGAGCACTGAGCTGTGAAGCTGCCCGCAGTCTTTGCAGCGCCAGTTCGATCCCCGGCCGTCCCACATGGCACGACAGACCTCTCCTGCCACGCCTGCTGCTCCCCTCAGCAGTGTATTTCGTCAGTCTGCCTGTTCTGTTCCCCACTCCGACTCTGGTGAATTCTCTCACCCTCCCACGCTTCTGACTGCAGCATAAATAAATAAATCTTTTTAATAAAAAAAAAAAAGAACAAAAGATCCACCCTTAATTTATATTCACTTTTTATCCTCTAGCCAATACTATAGAGAAAATAAATGCCAAAGGTGAGCTATTTGTCACCTGAAAAAATAATGCCTGGTGTTGGCATTTGATTAGATCTTAATTAAACTATTAGCACCTAGAGTGCAGGACAGTTAGATCCTCTCTCTCTCTCTCACAACAAATAGAACCTCTGTCCCCTGAACTATGCAGATACTAGGAATTAAGGATGCACTTATGAAATAAGTGAACAAAATTTTCTACCCAAAAGCAGGCGAGCCACAGAATGTATGAATCCATTTATATGACATGTCCAGAACAGAGTATAGATTAGTGGTTGCCAAGGGCTGGGGGAAGGGAGAGTAAGAAGTAACTGCTGATGGCTACAGGGTTTCTTTTTAGGATGATGAGAAAATGTACTGCAGTACACAGCTGTGATAGTGTCCAATATTTTGAATGTACCGAATTGCACACTTTGTAATAGCAGATTTAACTTATGTGCATTTTACCCCAACTTTTTAAAGCAGGCCAAATTATAAAGAATCAGCCACAACTTTTAATGTTCATTACCTACTTATTCCTACTTTCCACACACATACCCTCCCACTCCTACTCCAAGTACAAACCTCACTAACAGCTACACAAAAATAATAGAAAACAGCACCATCTTCTCCCTTCCAAGGTCACCTCATTGCCACTATGACCAAGCTTCACTGGAGAGACTCTTGAATAACAAGAAAGCAAAATATCAAGAATCAAAACGTCCCCCTGCAAACTGCATTTAAATTTCTCTTGCTTTTGGACCTGTGCAGATTATTTTTGAGAGATGATGATATAAGGTATTATTTGCAGTTGCCAAATTAGAGTTTATCAAAAATTAAGAATGTAACAGCTCTCCTCCATCCACCAAGTTGGCCCCCCAGGGACTCTGCTCAGTATCAGTCCAAACTGTTCATACAAGCAAAAAGCCCCGAAGATGGACTGAATGTGGGCTCAGCAGAGGGAGATGAAAGGGAGGAGGCCTGAGGACAGAGAGTTGTGATAAGAAGAGGCTACAACTTGAAAGGAGCCGGCCCCATCGTCAGTGATTTAGCAGGCAGAATTTGGGTTGACACATAGTCCCTTCTGTCAACTGATCTTTTCATTCCCAGAAACAGATCCAGAAGCTAGGCTCCAGGGGCTGCGCTAACTGAATTTGCCCCTATCCAAAAGACAGTCGTCTTCTCTTTATTTTTAGCACCCTGCTGTCAGATGTTTTCAGAGAGCACCTCCTCCTCATAACTACTGCTTTTTTGTGCACTTAATTACACTCCCAATGACAACTGTTTGAAACATCCTGAGACAAATAAGTGCGAGAAAAGTGTTCCAAGCCAAACTGCTGAACGAACGCCTGCTCATAGAGACGTTTGCTCTGGACAGGAGGCTCTCCCAGCCTGTACCACTCAGAGGTCCTGGCTGGAGAAAGGTGCATGTTAAACATACAAACAAAGGAAAAATACCTTGTGAGCTCTTCTTTAATCTTCAAGGGTTCATGTGGGTAGAATTTCACTCTAAAGCACATGGTGTATGGTGGATGAGCTGAAACATCATAAAGAAAAGGCATGAGAAAAGCAGCAAAAGACCATGGACTCAAACACACACAGGAAAGTCAGGCATGAAGCCCTTCAGCCTAGCCTGGGGTGGGGGCAGGAGAGGGTGATCTTCTGGAAGAAGCAGATATTATGCCCAAGGAAACAAAACAACAGTGACGACAAAACTGAAAGAAAATGCTCAACAGGACGCCCAAAGCAAATGCAAATACAAGCAAGCTAGTTCGTAAGAACATTTTTCCACCTCACGGCTCGCCTTTCCTTTCCCCATCCAAATATCATTTTTTCTTCCAATTCTTCCCATTCCCTTGTGACAGATAAATTGCCCATAAACACCATTCAGGTTTCTGGCGTCCAATATTTTTTAGTCCTTGAGGTGGAAAAATGTCACGGCACATGACTAGTTTCCCCAAATTAATGGTGCCCTTGAATTAAGAGATATTTTAAATGGAGTCAGCCATACAAAGATGCTACTTTGTTTCTTTTCAGTATTATTTTTAGTATTATCTATCTATGAGACCAGCACTTAGAACTTCTTGATCTGTCTGAATCAAGTTAGCACTATGCAGACTGAAATTCTGGTTTAGGTTCATGATTCTGAAATGTTCTAGTTACATCAAATAGCCAGATCTCAATGGCCTGCTGAGGGGTTTCTACAGAATTTCTAACATCTTCAATTATTACACCACTATTTGTCTTGCAATAGTAACCTCATAGATACACACAAGTGTAAAAAAGATGCATTCAGATTTCAGATAGCATACAAAATGAACATCTTAAAATGAAAACCTATGATAACAAGTATTACTATCTCCATGGCTCTGACATACCCACTCACTTTTTTGCCTCTGGAATCAGCTCTGACTCTACATCCAACTGTGCATATGAAATTATATCCTATTCATACTAATTCAGAATTAAAATACCAGTTAACTCTACAATGTCTGGGACAAATCCTTTCTGTAGAAAGAACTACCAGCAATCAAATATGAATGTATGAGAAAAATTTTAATATAAAAGCAATTCTTGAAAATAATTGCAAGAGAGAGCTCAACCACCAGTATCTCTGAGCAGACCATAGATCTGAGACACTCAGGAGGTGGGAGGTAGAGATAAAGTAGAGAACAGGCGTGAGGAGTGTGTGGTGGAGGGTGGTGGACTGTGGGCACTTCAGCAGTGGGAAAACTATGGTGACCACTTCTGATTGTAAAAATATAAACAAGGATATTTTAAAATAAAAAAACTGATTACACACACACACACACACTCCAAAACTCTTTCTATGCAACTCCATACTTCCTCACCAACAACTAATGAATTTCTTAACTGAATTGGTGCTCCTTAGATTTAAGAAAGAAAATATTTTTCTAGAGCATTAGGAGCAGTTGCACACCTCCACACACAAACTGAAAAACATCACAAATGACTCTAAAATCATTCTTCTTTCATGATACTTAGAAATGTAGTTTTTTTTATTTTTATTTTTTTAATTTTATATATTTTTTTACATTATTTTTCATTTTTGCACAATGTATGCATTTTCATCTTGGTTATAGTTCCCATACAATTCCCACCCACCCTCTTGTTTTGATCCACCTCCCTTCTCTCCCCACGTAGTATGTCTCTGGTTTATAGTTGCTTGTTGATTTTTATTTTCACTTTATTATAATTAGTCTTTTTCCTGGTCCTTTATTTTGTTTTTCTAAATTCCTGCTATGAGTGAGACCATCTGGTATTTTTCTTTTTTCTTTCTGTCTTATTTCACTGAGCATGATACCTTCCAGCTCCATTCATGTTGCTGCAAATTGCATGAGTATCTTTTTTGATTGCTGAGTAATATTCCATTGTGTATATATACCACATCTTCTTGATCCAGTCATCTATTTTTGGGCATTTGGGTTGTTTCCATAGCTTAGCTATTGTAAATAATAATGCTGCTATAAACATAGGGGTGCAGGTGCCCTTTTGAATTAATGTTTGTGTCCTTTGGGTAAATACCTAGGAGTGGAATTTCTGGATCATAAGGAAGCTCCATCTTTAGCAGGTTCAGGAATCTCCACACAGTTTTCCATAGTGGTTGGACCAGTTTGCATTCCCACCAGCAGTTCAGGAGAGTTCCTTTTGCTCAGCATCCTCGCCAATATTTGTTGTTGCTAGTTTTTTTAATATGTGCCATTCTCACTGGTGTAAGATGGTATCTCATGGTAGTTTTGATTTGCATTTCCCTGATTACAAGTGATGTTGAACATTTTTTCATATACCTGTTGGCCATTTGCATAGAAATGTAGTTTTGAATTAAACATTTTATCTCTACCATTTCTCAGGACTTTTTAATTTGTTTAAGTCACTTCCTTTAACAGACTAAAATTAATTTTTCATTATAAAACCTATAGTTATCCTTAAGAGAAAGGTTGAGACAGTTTTATGAGAACAACAGAGTAAAAACTGGAAATAACATAAAAAATTAATTTTTTCTTCCCTTATTAATTTCTTCTTGTCATATCTCTTTCTTTTCTCTCTCTTATTAAAACCCTCAGAATACATGTTAAATACAACCAATGAAGACAGATATGATAGGAAGATAGAGAAAGAAAGAGACAGAGAGAGAGAGATTCCCCTTCACTTCCTTTCACTTTGTCTCTTTTCTTGCCCTTTCTGTCCCTTGGGTTCCCACTCCAACCCCAAACTCTCCAAACACAGTCATTAACTCCATCTATATTTTTCCATCCTTTTTCCCAACCTCATACAAATATATGCCAACATGACTACAAATGTGAAAGATGCTTTTTTTAAAATAAATTAATTAATTAATTTATTTATTTATTTAAGCAAGCACTGGGTAGAGTCAGAAGCGCGGGAGGGTGAGAGAATTCACCAGAGCCAGAGCGGGGAGCAGAGCAGCTTCTGAAGTACACTGCTGAGGGGAGCAGCGGGCGGCAGGAAAGGTCTGCGCGCCATGTGGGACCCTCCTCCGGTGGCCGGGGAGCAGCCGGGGATCGAACCGGCGCTGCAGAGGCTGCGGGCAGCTTCGCAACCCAGCGCTCAACTGCTGCGCCAACGGGGAGGCCCTGAAAGATGCTTTTATAATTTATTTTCACAAGATCAGATCATACTAAATATGTTTTTCTTACTTTTCCAACTAAAACTGATATCCTTCCCATGGGTGTCTAGTTCATTCGGTATAGATCTAACTCATTATTCATAATAACTATTTAATACTTCATCTGATGGATACACCAGAATTTATTCAACTACTTCATATTAATCATCATTCAGGTTATTTCCACATTTTTGCATTTTTTGCAATTTAAACATGTGTATATATGGATACACACACATACATATATCATAACATTTTTATTTCTATAAAATAGACACCTCCAAAAGTAGAAATTGTTGAGTCATTAGACAAATTTAAGGGCAACAGCAAAGTAAAAATTGACTGACAGCAGCTTGGGAAAAGGAGGATCAGAAGAAACAGTCCCAACTACAGCTTTCATTTTCCCTTCAACCTGGTCAGCACGCATGCTCACTGGGCCCTAAGCAGGCTTCTTTAGGTATCTGAGTCCATCTTAAAGATCAGGCAGGGAGGCTCAGGGATAGCTCCTCCAGGGCCATGTCTGAATACCTCTCAAGGCAGGCAGTTCTTCCACTCCGTCATCCCTGATGCTCCCGAGTAGTCTGATGCTTCTCCCAAGTGGAAAGCCCTTCTGTCATTTGAGGACAGTGCTTGGAGGCCTTTTGAATTTTCCAAATATAGGTATCCCCAGTTCTTTAATTGCTGCTCATGTGAAATAGTTTTGAATACCCTCAAACCCTCAACCTAGGTATACTCTTTGTTTTAAATTAAAGAGTAACTGACATATAACCATATTAGTTTAATGATATAAATTGAGTTTATATCTAAGTCATTATATAAATATATATAGTGAAATGATCACCGTGATAAGTATAGTTAACACCTAACTTTGTTTTTTGCTCTGGAAGCAGGAACAGCCCAGAGGCCACATCTACCTCTTCAAGGTGTTTGGACAGATCCAGGGGGTTACTGGTACATGTGTACTACACTTTACCTAATTGTGAGCTTTTATTTTGTTGGAAGAAACACTCCTACCCAAAGAAGAGAAGGAAAAGGTGAGCTGGAAATGAAAGGGAGAAGATGGTAAAGACTGATGTGAGCTCAATTCAACAGCTGAAAAACACTTACTCAGCCATGGAAGTGCTAAAAAATGAGAATACTGCTGAGTAACTGACAAGGAAAAAATACAAAAATCTACTTTAAAAATGCCAGGAATGTGTAATTGCACTGAGAACAGTGGGGTCCTCTGTTACCTGCCAGCTGAGGGCTGTGGAGGCCAAGCATCTTGGCAGGGCAGCTCTGGGGCCTCTTTCTGCTTCATCAGATCCTAGGGTATTATTATTTTTGGTAGTTTGTTAACACTGAGAACATGGGGAGAGAAACAGCCATCTAAAAGCAGAGACAGACTTCTCATCTCCACTTTGAACCTCGCCCAGAAAAGGGGTTGGGGATATAAAGCGATTAGTTGAGCAGGCTCCCAAGTGAAAATGAAAAAAAAAACTTTCTATTTCTATTTTTAACCAACAACCATCATCAAATCTTTGTTTAAAAAAAAAAGGATTTTTTTTTTGAGAGATAAATATCACTTAGCAGTTTTTCTTAAAATGCATCAGTCTGTCTCCATCATAAAGAACTATAGAAAGAAAAAGTAAACACTTGAGAAGAATATACACATAAATGCATGATCTTTATCATATACATTCTGGCTGACAGTTATAAAAAAAAAAAATCCCCCTAACGCCTTTAAGTAGCAGTTGAAGCATAGAGCCTATGGCTCAAGTAGGTGTTAGGGCAACTGCTACCCCTAGAATATGTCTCACCACGTTCCCTCCACTGAGATACTATTTTTTTTTTTTAAAAAAAGAAGTGTGATCAATTTATTAGAATTTCAGGCTCTGGAGAAATTGTGC